AAAGCAACTTTTCAAGGCTTTTTTTCTCTTGACTCCATCTGCTTCACTCGGGCGTGCAATGGGGGATTCTTTGTGAATAAAGGAGTGGATGAGGATCCAGCACTAAGCAGCAGGACTTAAACTTTAGCTCAGAGGTTTTGTGAGTGATACTTAATGAATCTTTGTGCAAAAAAGAAAACTATCAGCGTCGATGACCTCCTTCAAGGTAAATAACTACAAACAGACACAGGTCGACGCTGGGATGCGGGAGTTGTTAGAGTAGTTCATTGTTACAGGAAGCAAGGGTTTATGGAAAAACGTGGAGACCACGTGAAGCCAGCAGAACACAAACAACCACAACCGATCGTAAAATACCACAAAGAAAGCCCAATAAGCACAGAATAGTAAAATAGCCACAGGAAGCCACAAACACTTAATCACAACCAACCACAAAATACTGCAAATGAGCACAGCTTAGGTTAGAACACCACAGACAACAAGGTTTTAGGGCGAGCAGTACCAGGCATCAATCCTTCTGTGGCCATTAATGAGACGATGAAACAGATGAATCACTGAGACACATGGGTCTCTGCAGGTACAATGCTGTAAATCATTAGTCCCTTCTTAAAGAGGGTTATTGTTTTGAAATCCCTGCACTGCTATCTGATCCCCTGAAAATGTATCAGCAGAGCAATGTGAGACAGGCAGAGACAGTCAGGTGTGGGCATTGCCAGAATCAGTTGAGACGGAGACGCAGACATAACAGGAAGACAACGAGCAAAGTCTTTAGGCCAAGCTCCAGAGGTTCTACTCGTTTCCTGCCTTGATTAATAAAGTCTGGCTGGGGCTCAGGTCAGCTCGCTGCTCATCTCACGCTGCCACAGGCTCACATACACACACACGTTTGGTGGGGTCTGCTAACATTCCTGCGTTGAATGACACGACCTAACGCTTTTAATTGTCCTCGAGCAGAAGCTGTGCCACAGGCTGAATCTGTTAAAACACAGCCAGTAGATATCCGCCTGAGACCGTTTTTGTGTCCAGTATGTACGCGCCGCCAAGCTTGAAACATTTGATATGTTTGTGTGCTGCATTTGTCCGTGTGAGATTGTGGGCACAAGTGTGTATGAGTGAGTGTCTGTTTCAGCCATGCAGTCCAAGCAGCGATAATACAATAATGAGGTCATCTCAGTATTCATCTCACAGGCCGGAACAGGCTGGAGTGTTGATAGAAATGATATTAGGCCATCCAAGATTAAGCACATTTACTCAAATACATACTCAGGTGCTTTAAGCCTAACCCCTCAAAATGGGTCCATTCGCCCACTGCATAATGGGGCTCCTATTACAAACTGCATTTAAAAGAATCAAATAAAACATGTAATTTTGATCAAAAAGTAAGAAACACTCACCAAAATGCATCATTAGGGCAGCCCTTGCCCACAGTTTAAGACATTAAGGGCGTTTAGACACAAGGAGTGGGGAACATAATGGGCTGGGTGTGGGTTCATCGGGTTGTCTGCTCACATTTTTATTGCTTTTTTGCTCCATACTTTACCCATTAAAGAGTTGGAAATGTACAAAAATTGTGTGCCAATTTGTCAGTTATTTGCCCGCTAAATGCCGAAGCACTTTGCTGTCATTTGGGGTGATCAATGCTTAATGAATTAGTCTGTTTTTCACCTCCGTTAAAGGCAGACATGCTTAGCACCTTCCCAATCCCTCAGAGACCCAGTCTGATGGAAGCCTTCCACCCCTAATTTATGAAAAGTGAGGAGCTAAGCAGTTCATGCGTCTAGAAGTGCTAGCTTTTTGGTAAATTGCTTTTTGTGAATTCACTTGAGTCCAAAACGGAACTCAACCTCAGCTTTCATTAAACCGAGGATGAAAGAATGTCTTGAGAAGTGGTGGAAATAAAGGGGAAACAGAGACAGAGAGACCAGGAGATAAATGGCAAGAGCTCAGAGCAATGTTTACACGATGGGAACTAATGCAGTGATGATTGCAGAGTGTTTCTAGTGATTCCATTTAGCCTATTGAATTAGCCAGAGCCGGAATAACTGGCCCTGGCGCTCCAGAAACAGACACCCAGGCATCAGAATCCAATTAAATACATTTGTTAAATAACGTAATGATTGCCTAAGCATACTTTTCAGTGGGACTCCATTCATTTTGAGCCATAAAAATGCCATTGTTTTCTGAGCTTTGGGAAAGGTTATGCAGATTAATAGAATTAATTGTCTGGCAGGCGAAAAATGTCATTAAAACACTTAGATGGCCATGATGGCCCATTTATATCCCTAGTCTGTTAGCGGCCAGGCATTTTAATTTGTAACTTGACATGATAATGTGGCTGGTCCCCAGCTCACAGACACAAATATTACTCACATTGATTAAAAGGGACCATTCCTTCCTCCCTTCTCTATTGCTGGACATGCAGAATCCATACACTGTTAACTTTATCTCGCTAACATTTAGCTTGCCGTGACGTTTATTGCTTCTACTTCAATGCAGACTGTAACATGAATGTGTAATTTGCACATTTAAAGTCACGCAACCATGTGCAGTTCGACATTAGCATTAATGGTTATGATAAAAATTTGGCCATGTTCTAAAACATATGAATCAAATTACATGAGAACGTAAAACAAAGTGTGAAAGTTTGAGCATCAAAGTGTAACCCAATCGAAATGCCCACATCCTTAGTCGATGGATATCCCTTAATATTATAAAGCTTTAAATATACTAGATTGGAAATAATGATAAATAAATATTTTGTGCTTGTTAAGAGGTTCATTCTTTTAATCAACTAATGCAAATGTTTTACATGGGATATCTCTGCAAAGGGTCACAGTCAATTATATTAACTGCGATATTTAACCTGAAGAAATGCTAACACCAGCCTCGGGGAGACAAACAGAACGTCCGTGGATATACTGATCAGACTGCAAACATCTCCACAGAGGTCACCGACTTGGCTTGAGACTGAATTAGACACGGATGGAGAACTCTCTTGCATTATGAGTAAGGGGGGGGCTATGTTTCCACGGTAACATATTCCAGGGTGTGAGAGAATTGGATCATTAAACCTGACTGGAGATTTCAAGGTCAAAGGTCAGAGTCGCTGCGCTCCAACGGGAACAGCTTGTGAATCTATCATTACGCCGCGCTCATAAACATACAGCGCACAGCAGACGTGTGGTGGAGTGTGTAGGAAGAGATGCGCACGCACACACGCACACACGCACACACACATGCACGGTTCTTGATTCCTGACAATTAAAGAAAAGATTGACACCAGCATTTTTCTCCCCTTGAGCACCTCAACATGATTTCCTCTCCTCCTTTCCGTACCTCACGCATCAACCTGTCATGAATACATTACACTTAAGCACATTGTAGAACATCTACCCAACCAATGGCTGTGTATCCATTTCAGTGATGGTCATAATGTGAAATGATGAGGTGTTGGGTTGTAGTGGGCACAACAAATTGTTATTTGTGCACGTCCTCATAAAGCTTACAGGATGAAACAGACAAACTTTTTGAGAGAAAACGTTGCTAAGAAACTACAAGCATCTATTCAATTTCAATTCATCATCACAACCTCCTCCGCCATCACCATGATTGTTGCCACTGCCCTCTAGTGGATAAACTAGAGGGCACTAAAGGACATATGGAAATGAGGTCAGTTGATAACACCGTGGAAATAGATCATATCTCTTTCCGTATGTAAAGGCAGCGTAAAGGAGCCTTTACAAATTGTTTGTTTTATTACAATAACACATTGTTTTTTTGTGGTTTGCGTAGCTGCAGCTCAAAGTATTTTTTTCTGGCTTCACTTGGTGAACACACACAGAAACTTACCTGACAGAAGTCAACATTTACAAATTGCATTCACCTACTTAAAGCAATGGACCAGCTGGAATGAGGCAACAGCAAAGCACGGAATCAGAACACAAACAGACGCGTTTGGTGTTTAACAACAATGAATGCCTTCATCGAAGCTCTAGCTCTTCTCTCCCAAGCGTCACGATTGCCGAGCTCATGTGACACTTTGCAATATTGTCTTTGAAACTGATAAAGCAGAATGATCAAAATGCTTGGAGACAAATGGTGGAGCCTCTGGTTTGGAGTTTTGATTTGCGAGACTGGAAGGTGCTATACAAAGAACAAATGGTGACAGTTTTGACTGTAGTTCTCTATATCATTATCAACTTCTTTTTCAAAGCAACCACATGTGTTACATGTCCCCACTTTGTACCGGGTACCTTACACCAAAAGGAAAAGCGAGCGCGTGTCTTGTCATATGATATATGCATGCAGACAGTTAAAATTAGGACCTCAGCTTCACTAATAAACAGAGTGTACAAAATATTAGGAATGACATTTTAATAATGAGTTCCATCTGTTTTCTGGTAATCCACATGTCAATTTGCAAATCCTTTTTTAACCCGTGTCATTCTCATAATCTGAATCAAACCCTCAAGAGAGATGCAGTTTAGAAAGGTGAAATCAATAAAGGATCGAAGCTTTCATGTGGAATCCCTTGATCAGCCCATCTCTGGGAGGAAAAAAAGCACACAGTCCCAATGTTTTGACTGGATTTTAAAGTTGCCATGTGTAAAACATGTTTAAAGTCTGTGTTGGAAATGACATTGACACAGAAATCAGTTTATTTAATACATAATCTAATATGCTCAGGTCTAGATATGTGCTTCTATCTGAGACTATGCATTAGCTGCTTTTGGACTCTTTGACCTCCACAAACTCGGTACAAGAACATAATACACAAAAAATATGTTTACTTCTGTGTATATCTGCGAGATCCAGGCAAAGAGCTAAAAGCCTGGTCAGTAATTCTTATCAGGATTAAAGATCAAATATGTTTCAATTCATATTTGATCATTAAAATGCTTAAAAAACGACGAGACCAAGGTTATGTTTTGTTGACTTGTGGACTTACATCACCAAAAATGTTTCTAACAGAGCTCAAACCCAATTCTATTGGTATCACTCACCATCATGGCCCTCATTCAGTTTTTCACTCGTTCATTACGGTGCTGGTCTGTAAAAGGAAAGATATGATCAATAACAGATCAATAATGTAATGAGTCATGTTGTGGTTGTGTTGTTCCAATAACAGACAGGTACAACAACTTGGTTGTAATGTGTGATTCGTGTGTGTGTGTGTGTGT